CAGGTTTGATTAACGACCCGTTAGGAAACAGGCTGTAACCCGAAAAAGCAGTAAAATTACTCTTTCTTAAATAGAATGTTCCAATTTTTTAATTTAAGTACTAAATAAAAAAAATATTAAAAATTACTAAATTTTACATTTTTTTACCTAAATCACCTAATGTACTCACCAAAAAATATTTCTTAAAATACAGAGAAAGGCCGCATAGACGGACGCTCTAATAAGCGGACACATTCTTCGGAACGAACAATTTTTGGTTTTTTTCCATACAAAATGCTCTCCCATACACGGACTTTCCGATAAAAGGACGCGGACACTCAAAAATGTCCAGTTATGAAAAAAACTCTCCCATAAGCGGATGCGAAGCTCTAATAAGCGGCCAATTTTGTTTTGTTTTTCAATCAAATGTTGACTCTTGCGCTTCTACATATGTATATGTACACAAGAACATAGCCCATATTCAAAAATATTTTCTTTTCTAGAAAAAGTATTCAGCCTCATTGCGTAAGTCGTAAATTAGGCTAAATTGTACGACTCGACAACATTGGCATTGTCTACTGTCGTGCTGAAATAAGTAAACGACGAAAATCGTCGAAAACTTCGCAGTGCTGCCAAGTTTTTCCGTTTTAATACACTAGTCGAGTGGAAATTTTAGGCAATGACGTGAAATTTTCGATACGATTCGACTCTCGAAAAACGACTTACATTCGATACGACTCTTGCAATGAGGGTGGTTGCCTTTTCGTTGCCAATGGGCAATGAGATTTGTCGGTAGGAAAGAAAACGCAATAAATTTGAATTAATTTTTAATTCATCCTGTTTCTGTCTATTGAAGAATAAATATTATTTTAATTTAGAAACCCGCAATTTAAATTTTTTTATGTATGCGATTTTATTTTATTTTTTACGAAATTCCTATAAGCGGACATCTCTCATAGGCGAACAAAAAAGGTGACCATCGGTGTCCGCATATTGGAGCTTTCTCTGTATTTGACATCGGCATTCGCATTCACATCCGCGGACGTCTAAAATTCCACATTCGCAACATCCCTACTATGTATGCATGAAGCCATTTTATTAGCAACATGAAATGTTTCAACCTCGCGATTTCCTCTGTCTGCAATACATTTTGCCTTTGGTATCCATACACATCATTATCTTGTTCAATTAATTTAACTATGTAATCATTAAAATTGTAATAAGTGGTAAAACTATTTAGAGACATCTTTTCTTTCGCTTATTTTTCAGCTTTTCACAACGATTGTAAGCAAATGTCTTCGAAATTGGATTTCAAATTGAAATTTGTCGTGTAAATATTTATAATTTCAAATTGAAATTGAGAATCGAAATCGCCCAATTTGAAGCTCGGGGAAATGTACTTTAGTGCATGGTGGAATTATACAAGGTGTTGTACGTAGTGACAACTCATGTCGACAGCTCCCTTACAAAAGGTTGTAATATGGAAGCACGAGAGAAACGGGAAGAAAAAAAGCCCGCTTTGCGAAGTAGTTCGAAATTTGGTACTATTTTTCATATAAAATTTTGCATATAAATAGTTACAAACGGTATATTATGATAAGCTAAATTCGCGAAAGTAGTATATATAACGTAGTACTTATGCAATAAATGGTAGTTTAGTTTATTAAACACAATGTCCTATAATTATAGTCAAACTTCCAAAACCAAAAAATTAGTGGTGACCCCGAGTCGTTACATGACGGAATCGACAAAAGGGCGCATCGACGGATGGGGAGAATATTTCATCGAACAAAATGCCAACTAAAGATGTGGAGCTTGCATCGCAATGCAAGCTGCGACCGTTCTGAACTGAGATGCCAGACAAATGGTTTCTACAAATTGAGGCCACCTTTCAGTCGTACAAGACCACATCTTATGTCGGTAAATATAATCTGGTCCTCTCAGCAATTAGCAGCGATGCTTTAAAGGAAGCTGCGGATGTTTTAAAAACCTTACCAACTCAAGACCGATATATTAACCTCAAAAGTCAACTACTGTCACGTTTTACTGATTCAGCCGACCCACATAGGGTATTTGGCTGATTTAGGCATATTTTTATCGCTACAAACATCAAATATAGTTTTAGTTATCGAATAAAACATTCACTATAACTACCCTGTTACTAATAGAAAATTCAATCGTAGTGAAATCGTATTTATTGTCAATATTATTGTGGCTTATTAACATTTGTTTCCATATTGTTATTGAGCTTTGTAGCACTATTATGTTTTTAGGGAAAAGGGAAAAAGCAACAAAGTCTTAGCGGTAGAAGTTACCAAAAAAACAGTTATATGGTTGGAAAAGCAGGGCCAGTGGCAGTGAACCACAGACGGGATTGCAGC